CGTAGCTGTTATTCTTCTCCTCAAATATTTGAAATTTCGTGGCTGTATTTTATAAACGATCTTAGATGCCCCCGTAGGAAAAATTCTAGATACGATAAGTCAGGTGATCGTGGTGGCGTGGTGACCATTCTAGTGATCCTTTTCAACTTCAACAATTTAGCCACTGTATAATTTGAAGTAAGTAGTGTGGTGGAGCTCCATTTTGTTGAAAGTAAATAAGACCGTCTTGCAAAACCATGTTATCAGCCGCATAAATTTGATTTTTAAAACTATTTGTTAGTAAGTTATTTGGTAGAGCTAACCACTAAGATTTTCCTCAATGAATAAAAGTCCAATTAGTAATCCCAAAAATACCAGCACAAACGTTAACTCTCACTGAACACTGTGTACGCCCTTCCCAGATTTCCATCAATCCAGTAGCTACAATTTCGTTTGTCCATTAAGGAAACGTATACTTATCAGTCAAACAAATATTGAGCAACATATTTTGGTTTTTATTTATGAAAAATAAAATCATTGTTTTACAAAATACAACTCTTCTGTCAAAATCATCGTCAGAAAGCTGTTAAAATAATATCATTTCATACAGGTGAACTTTATTTAATTTTTGAGCTTTCCTCACTTTTTTTAAGAAAAAACACTTCAGGAAAATCCTTAAAGCGCTCTGAGAGCGGTGCCTGTGCGAAGGTAGTGATTCACATCGGATTTCAATCTCTGGAGAATAAATTACCGCTCTTCTCCAAATGAAAGAGTTCTTAAACAGGTGTACTGAGTTGAACCTCAAAACGATGAGCAACCACAGTCCGTCGCGTATTTCTGATATGTACCGCTTTTGGTGGAATCAAATGTGCCAAATCCCGTGAACGTGTCTATAGAAGAGAGACAAATCTCCAGCCTTTCTTCGATATTCCAGACTATCAAGGTTGCAAGTGATGTTCGCATCTCCAATCAGGCGGATGGCTCTTTTCAGGATGGAATCCAGCAGCTTCAGGGTATGCTTTGGGGCGGAACTCCATAAATGAGAACAATACTCCAAAAAAGGTCGGATCTGAGCTTTATAAAGCATCAAAAGTTGCTTAGGTATGTAGAGCTTTCTGGTTCGCAACAGTGTTTTAAGCCTTTGAGAAGCAGCCTTCGCAATTCCAGCGACATGATTGTACCAAGACATATTGATGTCGTCTGACCCCCAACAAATTTATCGAAGCAGAAAGTAGAATTGTCTGTCCTGACACTATTATATCCGGTTCGGGGCCATTTGTCTCTTTGGAGAAAACCGATGCCAGGGTTTTCGTGGCATTGAATTGAACTTGGTTACTTTCACCCTAATTCGAAATTACTTCAAGATACTTCAAGGCATGCAACCTCTTGCTGCCGTTGAAGGAGTGCATACGCAGCCGATGTCCTGGAAACCAAATGGAATGACGAGACAAGTGTGTACTGTCGTCAACAAAGCAATAAGTATATTGGATTCTTGTTTTTTTTTAATAAGTCGTTGATATACAATAAAAAGAGGGTGGGAGACAATATGGATTCTTGGGGAACACCAGCATTGATGGTAAAAATATTCGAGATAAATCCGTCGACGGCCACTTGCAGGCAACGTTCTTTCAGAAAGCTGGAGAGCGTGTTAGGAATCACACGTTAAAAGGTAAAACTTCGTTAGTTCTTAGCTAGGACAAGTTTCAACTTCTGAGGGTTGTCGTTTGTAGGGGTGCGACAGCTGGTTAACGGAGAAACATATACACAAAAATGACCCGACAAGCCATACCATCGAAGTTTGGCCAGCAAACCCTCATGACACAGACGGTCAAAGACCTTATAAATATCAAGCGCAACAGCTCTTGATTCTTCATGTTTCTCGATTGCGTTATTCCAAATATTAGTGACATACAATAGAAGATCGTCTGTTGATCTTTGTTTCCGAAAGCCATGTATATGATCGCTCAAAATGTTGAAGCCTTCCAAATATTTAAGGATATGGTGGTTCACAGCTTTCTTCATGATTTTTTATATCACTGATAGTAAAGCGAATGGTCTATAGTTATTTTGAAGATTTTTCTTGCCCTTTTTGAGAATGGGCTGAACGCGAACAATCTTCCATCGAGAAGGAAAAACCCCTTTTATGTAAGACATCTTGAAAAGTCTGCAAAATACTGGCGCGAGTTCATTTGCACACTTTTTAAGTACGATCATGGGCACTTTATTAGGACCAGAAGTTGTTGATATTGAACTGTTTCGTAATTCGCCTGACTAGACGTTGTCGAAAAGTGATTTTCAGCATTGTGAGTTAAGTTTTAACGCCTGTGGTGTTGTACATACACGGTATTTCAAAGTTTAAAGTTTTCAAAATGTCAAGTACTGAAGAAACTGCTACTATGTGTTCCTACACTCCACCTAATAAATGTTCCTGTACCCAGCCGCATGTTAATAATAAAATTGGTCGTTCCTTAGTGCGACTCTGTACAAGCAGCCTTGTCTGGGAGATCACGGGCACTATGCATGATAATGTTTCAGATCCCTCTGTTGCCTAAATGGTCAGAGTATAGCTCGCATAACTAATTTGACAATAACGTAGTTTTCACAACCAGAATAGACCTCGGCAATGGTGAATAATTGTCCCCCTGAAGATGGTGAATAATTGTCCCCTAAAGATATGCAAAAAACGTTTGACGATTTTTGCATATCTTTAGATTTTCTGTAGGGACCGTAGAGTGAATTAATTATATGCTAAAACGTCTATATTCTAGTAATCTGACGATTTGAAAATGACGTAAGGAAAGAAAGGGGCAACAAAGTTGTAAAAAAGCAACGTCATTTGACATTCTCGAGCGTAGCTAATTTTTTTTTATTTTGAAGGAAATAATTCAAGAATAACGAAAAATATATAATCTGACGATTTCCGCAACCCGGAATAACAAAAATTCGTCGATAAAGTTTAATGCGTGCAGCTGTGTGATACCTATATTTCCCTCTCTTTCACTTTTTCTCTATCTATTACTCTCTCACACTGTCCCCACTCTGAATTCTGTTGCTATGACGCCATCACAGCTGATCACAGAGACTCGTTCGTGATGAAGATGAAGATTAATTAATCAATTGATTACAAAAAATAATTTTTTTTGCATATTTTTTAAAATTATTTTCTTATAAATACAAGTATTTTATTTAAAAAACATACACTTATTTATTTGCATACTATTTCCTGAGCTTTTGAATTAATTAAGTTCAATGATTGTCAGATCAGGCGAATCCCTCTAGATAATCGTCAGATTATGAGACAGCACGTCTAAAACATAAAGATGAACCATATATATCTTAATCTGACGCATTTGAGTATTTCAAAATGGCGAATTATTTTTGCACATTACAATGATGGCCGCGAGTTTGCGTCAGATCGAAATCGTCAGATTATTGAAAGAGCTTTTTTTTGGTGCACTTAACACCCCCTTAGAAAATCTGACGCGCTCGATTAAATTTTTTTTCTTTTCACTTTAAATCATCACGTACAACCAGCCGCATCATGCAAACAATCAGATTAACATACGAACATTGTTAAAAATACGTAGGACATTGATGCTATCAATATTTGACGCCCTCGAGTATGTCCATGTAACAGTAGCTATTTTTTTACATATTTAAAAATCTATAGCCGCTTGTCCCAACGATGAAAAGGTATATTTTATATAAAAAATTTTTCTCCTCATCATCTAAGCTTTGCAACCTAATATGTCTCGAGTAAATCCCCATTATGCATCATGGGTTCCCCTACTAGAAGAATTTTGGCATGATTTGACTACAGTCACATTTAGATTTGGCGTGGTTTTCTTCTGAGCATGCGTACACTTTTGCAATTGTGATTTTTAAAAATGGGGGATACTTTGAAAATGAATCTTATTTTTAGATATTGCTTTGACCATTCTGTAGGTTGTTTTTTTTTCTACCACACAGACAAACAGTTTAAAACCTTCGGTATCGATCTAAATGTAGAAGTTTGACAAAAATCAATCCTCAAGTGGTTTATAAATATAGTTTAAAAAACTAAAAAACATGCTTTCAAAGAACATCGAACTAAAAAGTTGAAAATTTTTAAATAAGCTTAAAACAATAACGAACGAAAAATACTGGTATTATTGTGAAAAAAGCGACAGGCGCTTGATATGCAAAAAAATATATATCACAAAGCGCCCACGCTTTTTTTACAATAATACTGGTATTTTTAGTTCGTTATTGTTTCAAGCTTATTTAAAAAAATATTTTCAACTTGTCAGCTCGATGTTCTTCAAAATCGTGTTTTTTAGTCTTTTCAAACTATTATTATTTTATCTAAACTTTTTGATCAATCAGCCGTATATTGTTTAGGAAAATGACAATTGATATTTTCTGATCCCGGAGAGGGAGCCTGAAAATCACCTACCAAGCCCAAGGAACCAGGCGCACAAAGGAGGGTTACAAATAAGGCAGCAGGCGCGCGTGTCAATAAAAAAATACTTTTTTCAAATGAAGAAATACGTGTAAGTTCAAATTATAACAAGGAGGTTACGTAAAGCGCCATCTGCCCGCGAATAGATCAAGCAATAATGTCGATATATCAAGAAGGTTACATACAGCGCCATCTGCCCGCGAATATAACAAGCAAAGATGTTGATAATTCTGTCAAATACAGATCCCGAGCTTGAGAGTTACAAACAAAGAAACATACATACAGGTGAAGCTAATAAAAGCGGGTTAAAAAAAGGTAACCAAGCCAAGAGAGCACTTAGTTAGGCAATTGACGACATCTTTACCCGAGTTTTTCATAAATCCAACTCTCAGAACCCTCTCATGATTTGAAACTGTTCGGAAAACTTCATTTCCAAAGTTATATCGCTCTCTCGGCGGCGAGTGCTGCGAACAAAAACTCTTGTCGTCTTATCAAAAATAGAATTTTCCCAGTTTCCTAGATTCACAAAACTGAAATTTTCTTCCACTCTGAGCGCACCTAATAGTTGTTTTTGTTTCAGGATGATCCTTGAAGATGCTTGAGAGAAGACTCTGGTCGAATATTGGCCTGCTTCTGATCGCATTTTTTGCCTTCTTAGGATTATGGCATACCTTCGTAAGCTCCCGGTTTCTCCAGGTCGTGCCCACGTCAACTACATCAGCATATACTCTATATACAGAAAGCCAGAGCGGATATCCTAGTCGAGCTTTGCAGTTACCAGAAAGAGATTATAACCAACTCATAGACTTAAACTTCAATTTTTCTATAGTTAATTTTATTTGTAACGATAGTCAGCCTTTACTGCTTTTGGTTTTAGTCCATTCGTCCCCGTCAAATTTTGCCAAAAGAAAAACCATTAGGGAAACCTGGGGGCAAAAGGATGAAAACATAAAGGTGCTCTTTCTAATAGGTAGCGTTACCTCCAGTGATCTCCAAAAGACTTTAGAAGACGAAAACAGGCTGCACAATGATTTCGTACAAGGCACATTTTTGGACACTTATAGAAATATTACTTACAAACATGTGATGGCTTTCAAGTATTCTATTTATCATTGTCCGCAAGCCAAATATATACTGAAGACTGATGATGACGTATTCGTTAATATGCCAACAATGATGAATTTTCTCAAGTACGATCTGTCTCCGTACGGAGCCGAAAACGTTTTGTTCTGCACGCCTAGGAGGAACTCGAAAGTGCTGAGGTCGTACCGATCGAAATGGAGAGTGTCGTTCGCCGAATATCCAGATAGAATTTATCCTACTTATTGTCCCGGATGGACTCTGCTGTACTCTCCTGATGTAGTTTTTGCACTTTATAAGGAAGCACAAAAGGCCGCGTACTTTTGGATAGATGATATTCATATAACTGGTACTCTTATTAAAAAAATTAACGTGGTTCATACTGATATTGAATCTCTAGTTTTGTCTCAGTGGAATCTGTATAAAATAGTTAGTTTCTATTACAATGTATCTGATCCGTTTTTATATGGCAGGGCCAATATGAAACAAAGTGAAATTCGGGCGCTCTGGAAGTTTGTTAAAATGCATGACGCTCCCAAATACATATTTAGAGATTTTCATTAATTAAGCACCACAAATAGATAATTTGGAAGGGTTCCAGAAATTTTCATCATTAATATATTCTACACTTATTAAGTGGGCCAACACAAGTGACGTATATAATTATATGTTTATAATGGGGAATGTTCCTCAATTTGGGATATTACAGCAAATACAAGTTTGAACAAAATAAAGTTGAGTTTAATTAATGAGTTTTTCAAATTCACTTCGAAAAGTATTGACATTGATGTTTCAAATGTTGAGTTTTAATTTTTGAAGGGATTTGTTTCTGATTCACATATTAGCAACAGCGCCTATATCAAGTTGAAATAATTTATACGTACCTAGATATTCTAATTTAAAAAAGGAAAATTATCTTCATAAATCAACAATTGAGGCAAAATATAAATTATAGTTCAATACCACCTCCACAAGCCACATAAACAACAGTTGTTTTGTTATTTATTTATATAGAGGAAGATAGGTTAGGTGCACAAAATGTCATATGTCACAGAATGTCTCGGAACTCGGAACATAAGAAAACAGAAAACAGAACAGCACGCCTCTGAAATATGTCATCTTTGTTTGTCTCATGCAGGTAACAGATTCATTGTCCTTTATTAGCTATAACCGATGTTGCCAAATGGTGAAATAGAAACGAATCCCTTTAAATGTTGAAAGCATTATTTCAATCCTTTTTAAGTATTTAAATATTTTTTTAAGGAAAAAGGTTGAAATGGTGAGTTAAAAATGCGTAGTTTTAGAGCTCTTTTATGAAAACTACTTGATTTTCGTCAGGAGGAACATTCCCTATTATGCAGTATTTCGATTCAGTAGTCCTTATAGCTCTGTTCTGAAACATACAGAATATTAAGTGACGTGAAGTGTTTGAGCTAAGTACGATACACTCAAATTACTATACTCTAAATATAAATTGAAATGTCAGAAATTCAGAGAGTTAAAAATCCTACAGCATCACCTCAACACAACCGATTTCGCTTATCAAGTTCTTTTCTTTTATGTAAAAGAATTTATGGAAGATCAATAGAACTGTATATCTGAAATTGCCGTACCGTGCAAGGATTAACGAGGTGTTACCTTTTAACGGGTTGGACGATAGGAAGTGAAAATAGATTGTCCAGCCTCGTGGCTTGAACCACCGGTTCACATAGCGGTCGATTGAGTGAGTGGAGCAAACCACCCACGACAACCTGACCGTTGTATTAAACACCTAATCCTGATAACACTCCTACTAAATATCAACCTTCAGTTTGATAGGTTTCAATTTAAGGATAAGACACGAAGGAATTTCAAGTTTGCATTAAAAGTATTCATATTCTACGGCTACCGTCTATTCAACAAGTTTATTCCACTTGTACATACCAAAGGGCCATTATATTTGACGCATTTTAACTCAAGAATTGAAACTTTCGGAACATCAGGGCCTATTTTATAATTGTCTGTTCACCCGATAAAAAGGGCCTATGACTCTACCTCCAATCAGGCTAAATATAGGCGATAACAAGGGTACACCACATAATACAAACTAGCTAACAACTGACCATATTAGAGTATACTCCGTATAAAATTGCTTACTGGACAAAGGATGGAAAAATACAACAGAGACTAACAGATTAATCGCAAGGAGGAAGCTTGTGCCACGAACCTGTACAAGAATGGAAAATGGGGAAGATGGATACACCAGTTGATATCCAACATATCTTACATACGGTAAAGTCGATTATTTTATAAATCAGGCAATTATTTTATATCCTAGGCTACATATTTTTAAAATTGTCGTTCGTAGGAAAGCTTCAGCAGTTAACTGAAAAACAGATTTTTAAAATTGTCGTTCGTAGGAAAGCTTCAGCTGTTAACTGAAAAACAGATTTTAATGGACTGATTAGTGAAACAAAAGGAAAATAAAGTCGAACTAAACTATATCCATCCAACAAAAAAAGGAACACAAACAATGATAGATGCGTCATCTCTTCTATTGCATCTATTGGGTAAAATAATCGAGCCTCCTTACGCGGGCAAATCAGATTCAACTGCAACCGGCTGGCGAAATTCATTGTTACAGTGTTGGAATGGTCAGTTACGTTTTAACGCCTGCGGTGTGTACATATACGGCATTTTAAAGTTTGAAATATTTAAAATGACAAGTACTGATACGGCTGAATAAACTGCTTATTTGTAACCATACACTCCACCTAAAAAATTTTCATACACCCAGCCGCATATTACAAAAAATCGGTCGTTTTTTAGTGTGACTCTGTAGAAGTAGCTGGGACATCATGTGCATTATGCATTTCGGAGCACTCTGTGGCTTGGTTAGGCAGAGTATAGGTAAAGGACCCAGATAGCTACGGAAACTCTCATCTGATAGGTGAATCTATTACGTTTTCTGGTTAAAACGAGATTTTCCTCTCCGACTTAGAAAAACTCAAATCATGCATTACATCGGCATACTGTGCTCGACTATACAGGAAAGATAGTGAAGTTTATGAACGCAAAATCAATTTCAATGAAACAAATGGTCAATAAAATGGAAATAACTGATATGTATGTTGAATCATTAAAATGGTCCTTTGGGAAACCCCGCCTAGGAATTTATCCGACAATGTATGATTTAATTTTATTATTACTCACTTCAGGTTGAATTTCAGTAAAAAAGAAAACAAACTACAGTCTTTTTTCTCGTTTGTGAGTAATAGCGTTGCAAATAAGCTGAATACGGCCCTGTTATTCACAAATTTACAGGAACTTTGGTGCCCTCGACATCTGATGGGTAGTCATCGTGAAACATGTATGGTGGTGGTTGCGAGAGAGAAAATGGTCAAATTGAAAGGGGTATATTTTTCAGGAGACTTTAGGTTTTGAGAAAAACAGCTTTTTGCCTCCATCTTCCGCATGGACATTGAATAACGCAAAAGAAAAAGTACTATCGAAACAACTGCTTTCATATGAACATTGATTTATACGAAATTCGTTCGTTGTAGAATTGAAACAGATATCATTCATAGGAACGCTACACAACGTAATATATGAAAGAGTTGCGATATGAAATTTCACTTACGTGGAACACATGAAACCAAAAACCTAATACCTCAACTCTAAGATCAGTGTCTGATAAGGAAGCAATAACCAACCAACACAGAGAAAGAAGTCTAGTGATTTTTGAAAACTGATAATGCCTTAAAATTTCTGAATCGGAATGAAAAGATAGCCAACTTAAAAAGGCGCAAAATTTTCCAAATACAACTTTCCAATTCTGATGTAATACGTACCAACTTTTTGGATACACTTGAATTCAAGTTTCGTTAAGAAGAGGTTTCTATCTGTTCACATTTGAAAGATGACCGATCGTATTACAGATGAGTCAAGGAAAGAATACACATGCGTTATCAATAAAATACTTTATTTTTTATGACATCTCTTTCTTCTACAGTACATCAAAGAAAGAAAACAAACAAATGTAAGCCTGCGGCAATTTCTATTGAATTGTGTAGTTTCCATGGTTTCAATTCTTTTATACAACACAAATTGGTCTTTTATCAACTAGTAAACTATGGCTATGGCGTGGAAATTACAATTATTCATAGCTTAAATTTACTCAGTCCGAATTGAAATTTCAAGAGCATTGCTAGCATATTCGTCAAAATTTCATTGACGTTTGTCAGTAATTGGGCTTGCTGAGAATAAGATGCCTATACACTGGTGTAGCGACTAATGCGTGTAGAATTTTGATGCAAATCACAATAAACGAATTCAAGTAGGTCTTGAATTCGTTAAGTTTCATTAGATGTTCCTTATAATGAAGAGCCTTCTTCATCGTAACGGTGTGAATTATGATTAATTTCCCAGAATTAGTTAATATATTTTGAACTGTTCAAATTATGGCGAACCTTAAACGTCAAGTCGAAACGCAAAATTTGGCTGCATTTTGCAATATTGTCACCTATTTACTTCAAAGATAAGTTTTCAGTATAGGAAAAATCCTATGTTCTAGATCAATTGACAGAAATTAAATAAATGGAAACCTGACTGAGACATCAACTTCTGGATACTTCTGAATAACATAATTCTCTGAAACAAGAGGCCAATAGGCACAACATCCAAGTGTAGACATCTTACCTAAGAAATATATATGCCATGTGGTCCACCTTTCAGAAAGTTATGTTTCTATATTAAACAACTTCCAGAGTGAAACGTATCGCTATTGAAATGCCTTAGCCTATCATAGAGGTAATGCTATTTTGCTGTGGTATGTTGCTTCATGCTGAGACTGTCCTGCAATAATAAGGGGCAAATACTCCGGATCTGTGGGTGATCACAGATTGATTTCAAGAAATTTCTTTATGTACATCCTAGCACCAATGTCTATTGGATGAAATTTAACATCCGTCGTGAAATTAGCCACAGAATTAGTTTCATGGCAGTCAGTTTAGAATTTCATTCATAAGTCTAATTAGTATATTTATGTAGTTATTGATGAAGCTGGCTATTTATGTAATTTTTTTAGGCTCAAACATTTGATTTCGATTGTTTTTTTTCAATTTTTAGAACTTCAGTGGTTGTAGTGGTCCTTTAAAAGCAGAGGAAAAATTGGACAAATCGTAGAAAAATGGCTGTGATACAATGGTCTAACGGACACTGTATTAATTCACATTCAATCCGTTTGTTTGATGTGATAGTAACATTGTGAAGATTTGTAATGATTCTAATAACCGTGAGATCTCTTTTTTTATTTTCTGGATATTTATTATAAACTATACCACCTGATATCAGGAACTACATAAGTGTATTCTACGAATTATTTGCATTTTCTGTTTTTCAAAGTAGCTGTTTGCATTTCCAATCTCGAAAAAATATATTGAAAGGCAACTCTGCGAAATCACTTGATTTGCAAACATTTCTGGACACTTGATACCTTTCGAAAATCTAGAATTTTGTAGACCTGAAGTAAAAAATAAGTCAAGTGGGGGGTGGTTATGACCTTGAACCCTTATTCTAGGCTAGGAGGTTGATCTTACTTTCAGTCACGAATTTATAT